TCGAGGGTTAGTATGTTACAAATTCTAACTACCGTAATCCCTTGCGACTTTGCTACAGCACGAAATAATGCAAAAATGCATGATCGCGCCGACTCGCCTGGTGCGTTTCAGTCTGGATTTCAATGAACGAGCATTCACTGGAAAAACGACCAAGCTTTATGTAAAAAATTGATAATCATACACGCTGAAAGGTCCATGCAGCCCCACCATGCAGTACCTTCACCCCTGCCAACGACCTTTCCCCTCCATGCGGGAAAAAGGCCAAAACACAGCCATTATGAGTCCAAGTGTTAAACTACAGCTATTGACCATTACTACTGTTAGCGATTTGCAAGTTTGGTGTAAAAACGCATGATCGCACCTGCAAGCTTGGTGCGCTGCCGACTGTGTTTAAAATCAACTTTGGCTGAAAATGGCAGTAAGAAAAATCTGATGCTTGAAGGTTATCTTTCAGCGGACTGGACACCCAAGCGCCAGTTACAATGGGAGAAGAAGAAGATGACCATGAACAAACTGGCCATCATGGCAAGTGTTCCAATGTTGCGGAGAAAGATACACACGATAAACCAAAATACAAACGGCAAGAGTTCATGAGGTCAGCAGCTATACTTTCTATTCAGTTTTTGCAAGAAATTAAAATTTTTGATGCACACCTTCATGCTTGAAGAGAAGCGCCTGTGAACATGTGTGAAAGAAAAATTATTTATTATTATCATGGAGACGTGCAATTTAGGACTGGAAGGCGTAGTACAGTTGTGCCAGGCCCAACTTAGTGTCACCGCTAACATCACATCTTCATGCTGATTGACTGGACAGTCATTAGTAATCTTTATAATATTCAATTAAAAAAAAAAGAAAAAAAAAACTTCACCAGATACTACGCTTCATTTATACGTGTTATATATGTGAAAAAGAGAAGTAATGGGATTTGCTAGTGGTCAAACATTTTCTTTTAAAAATTCCTCCCAGAGCCTTAGAATCTTTTATAAATCATCGATTCTTCGTTTCAGGCCAAAATATGGTGCGGTGAATTTCGACGTAATTGATGCAGTAAATGCGAGGTTAGCGGCTGCAAGTGGTGCTACCAATAATGACCTATTCAGCAAAATGCGCATTGAGACATCACTTGAGAACGAGGAGAAAAAAATTGTTGATGTTGAGGTTCGCATTTTTCTGTTTTCGGAATCCGCTTAATCGTGCATCGTGCTCTATTCTGTTTATGTGATTGATGCGGAACATGTGTGACGACTGCAAGTGGTATCATCATGACTGCTTTTCCTTGTTCACAGTGTTGCAGTGCACTGCACTATTCAGCGAAAACACTGAAGTGAAATTAGTGGATTCTAGAATGACTTATAAATTTCATTTAATTCGCCATATCACACAACAGTTTCATCAGCACATTTCGTTATGCGTTTGCTCGCCCTACTTCTCGTACAGATGCGTTAAGCGTGCCCGAAACATCTTACCAGTAATAATCGTAGGTCTTTCGGTGGTACCGTATATTTGACCATGTGAATAAATGATTTTTTGCGCCGCCTCTGGCAACAGAGATTAGATTTATATCGTCCAGCTAGATCACAGTGCTTCCGTAGTTCAGTGCTATCTCTGGCGAGAGAGACTTTCCAAAAAGAGGCTTCAGAAGAAATTTTTTAGTTTTAGGAACCTTTGAGCCGGCAAACAGACAAATTATGCTTGTCATATTGTGGAAACAGATCACTTTTCCTGCGCGGCCAGATCACTTTTACTGTAGTT